AGATCGCAGCCCCCCCAGGGATGGCGAGGTCTATTTTGAGTCCGCGGTGAGTGCCCACTGTGCTGGGCCCCCCAGCAGGCCTCGAAAGTGGCGACAGTTTCACAGATCGCAGCCCCCCCGGGATGGCGAAGTCTAATTTGAATCCGCGGTGAGTGCCCACTGTGCTGGGCCCCCCAGCAGGCCTCGAAAGTGGCGACAGTTTCACAGATCGCAGCCCCCCAGGGATGGCGAGATCTAATTTGAATCCGCGGTGAGTGCCCACTGTGCTGGGCCCCCCAGCAAGCCTCGAAAGTGGCGACAGTTTCACAAATCGCAGCCCCCAGGGATGGCGAGGTCTAATTTGAATCCGCGTGGGTACCCACTGTGCTGGGCCCCCCAGCAGGCCTCGAAAGTGGCGACAGTTTCACAGATCGCAGCCCCCCAGGGACGGCGAGGTCTAATTTGAGTCCGCGGTGAGTGCCCACTGTGCTGGGCCCCCCAGCAGGCCTCGAAAGTGGCGACAGTTTCACAGATCGCAGCCCCCCAGGGATGGCGATGTCTAATTTGAATCTGCGTGTGGCGTCACTGTGCTGGGCCCCCCAGCAGGCCTCGAAAGTGGCGACAGTTTCACAGATCGCAGCCCCAGGGATGGCGAGGTCTAATTTGAATCTGCCGCGATTACCCTCTATGCCGGACCCCCCAGCAGGCCTCGAAAGTGGCGACAGTTTCACAGATCGCAGCCCCCCAGGGATAGCGAGGTCAAACGCAGGGGGTGAAGAGAGGGGACGGGAGGGGGTGGTAAGGAGACGCGCGAGCAGGGCTCTATTAAAAACGGGAACCAACGCAGGAGGTTTGAATTGGCCTGGCGAAGGACCCAACCATATGCAGTTGTGAATGCCGCAATTGTGCTGGGTGGTGGCGGACGCATGCGGGCGGTGCCACTGGGACCTTCGGTGGAGCGCCCTATGGGGCCACGAAACGTTGTACTGGGTGGGTGGGACGCAGTGTCAGAAGGGCTGTGATTGCGCGGTGGCGGACGCATGCGAGCGGTGCCACTGGGACCTTCGGTGGAGCTCCCTATGGGGCCACGAAACGCTGCGCTGGGTGGGTAAAACGCAGGCAGGGAGCAAGGGCTGCGCAGGGTGGTGGCGGACGCATGCGGGCGGTGCCGCTGGGACCTTTGGTGGAGCTCCATATAGAGCTACAAAGCGCTGTTCTGGGTGGGTGAAGCGCAGGGAACAAGGGCTGCGCTGGGTGGTGGCGGACGCAAGCGGGCAGTGCCACTGGGGCCTTTGGTGGAGCCCCCTATGGGGCCACGAAACGCGCGAGGGGTGTGCCAGAATGGGGTGCGGAACCGCATGCCAGCGCAGCCACTGGGGCCTTCGGTGGAGCTCCCTATGGAGCCACGAAGCGTGTGAGGGGTGTGCCGAAATGAAGGGTGGAACCGCATGCGAGCGCAGCCACTGCGTCGTTCGGTGGAGCTCCCTGTGGGGCCACGAGACGTGTGAAGGGCGTGCCGGAAAAAAGGGGTGGAACCGCATGCGAGCGCAGCCACTGGGGCCTTCGGTGGAGCTCTCTATGGGGCCACGAACCGTGCGAGGGGTGTGCCGAAATGGGGGGGAGGGGGGGGGAACCGCATGCGAGCGCAGCCACTGGGGCGTTCGGTGGAGCTCCCATGGAGCCACCCACGAAGCGTGTGAAGGGTGTGCCGAAACGGGGGGCGGAACCGCATGCGAGCGCAGCCACTGGAGCGTTCGGTGGAGCTCCCTATGGGGCCACGAAGCGTGTGGGAAACGCATGCGGGCCGGCAACGCTATACTGAGTATGGGAGATTCCCTATGGGGCACGAAACGGTGTAGGGGTGGCCAAGAATGGGGGGTGTGGAACCGCATGCGGGCGCACCACTGGGGCCTTCGGTGGCAGCTCCCTATGGGGCCACGAACGTGTGAAGGGTGTGCCAGAACGGGGGGATGGAACCGCATGCGGGCGCAGCCACTGGGGTCCTTCGGTGGAGCTCCCTATGGGGCCACGAAAACGTGTGAGGTGCCAGAATGGGGGGTGGCCACCGCATGGGGCGGAACGCGCATGCAGGCGCAGCCACTGGGGCTTCGGTGGAGCTCCTCCTATGGGGCCACGAAACGTGTGAGGGGTGTGCCAGAAATGGGGGGTGGAACCGCATGCGGGCGCAGCCACTGGGGCCTCCGGTGGAGCTCCCTTATGGGGCCACGAAACGTGTGAGGGGTGTGCCAGAATGGGGGTGGAACCGCATGCGGGCGCAGCCACTGGGGCCTTCGGTGGAGCTCCGTATGGGCCAGAAACGTGTGATGGGTGTGCCAGAATGGGGGGTGGAACCGCGTGCGGGCGCAGCACTGGGGCCTTCGGTGGAGCTTCCCTATGGGGCCACGAAACGTGTGAGGGGTGTGCCAGAATGGGGGGTGGAACCGCATGCGGGCGCCAGCCACTGGGGCCTTCGGTGGAGCTCCCTATGGGGCCACGAAACGTGTGAGGGGTGTGCCAGAATGGGGGGGGAACAGCCACTGGGGCCTTCGGTGGAGCTCCCTATGGGGCCACGAAACGTGTGAGGGGTGTGCCAGAAGGGGGGTGGAACCGCATGCGGGCGCAGCCACTGGGGCCTTCGGTGGAGCTCCCTATGGGGCCACGAAACGTGTGAGGGGTGTGCCAAAATGGGGGGTGGAACCGCATGCGGGCGCAGCCACTGGGGCCTTCGGTGGAGCTCCCTATGGGGCCACGAAACGTGTGAGGGGTGTGCCAGAATGGGTGTGGGAGGGGGAGGAGGGGGGAGGAAGGGGAGGAGGAGGAAGGAGGAGGAAGGAGGAACGCGGGGCGACGTCTCTTCAAAACGAGGACCCAACACCACAGGATGGTTGGGAAAAATCTACCAGAGTTTCGGTTACTGAAGGCGGCTGGTTTTCAAAATGTGGCTCTCGCCTTAGCGCGGCGCACATTCGATTTCAACATTTGCACGAACTTCACGGATTCAGGGCGGCTGGTTCTCAAAAAGTGGCTCCCGCCTTAGTGCAGCGCACATTCATTCGTTTGAAGAGCTGCAGGAATTTCACTGGTTGAGGGCGAGTGGTTTTCGAAATGTAGCTCGCGCCTTAGCGCCGCGCAAATTCGCTTCGGATTGAGGCCGGCTCCTTTTCAAAATGTGGCTCTCGCCATTGAGCGGCGCGCATTTGCTTTAAACATGTGCCAGAATTTGACGGATTCCCATCATCAGCGTGTCAGAAATTGTGTTTTTAACGGATTCCAGCTTATGCGGGTGCAGCAATTATGTGGATTCGCTGTGCTGCATTCCCAAGATTGGCGTTCTGACACAATTCAGGGTTGTCAAGACGTAGCAGTCAGGTTGATCCGTGGCGTTGGAATCCGCAGAATAATGTTTTGGCATGCTTCAGGGTCTTTAAACGGTTGTCTTCTAAAAAGGTAGTTCCTCCAATGGAAATGACCCGTTGTATGGGGCCTGTGACGAGGGAGTTCGGATGGAGGGTTTATTCCAACATCGTTGATGACTCTTGGGTTTACACTGGTTCTGATCCTCCTCCGTTTCCTCCTCCTCCTCCTCCTTTTCCTCCTCCTCCTCCTTCTCCTCCTCCTCCTCCTCTTCCTCCCCCTCATCCTCTGCATCATCCCTCCCCTACCTGGGGTTGGTAGCCACATCTTCCTCACTCCAAAGCCTCTTCTGGTTCCTCCGCGTCCTCTGCTCTCTGCCTCCTCCTCTTCCTCCCTCCTCCTCCTCCTCGTCCTCCTCCTCCTCATCTTCTCCCTCCTCCTCTTCCTCCTCTTCCTCACCCTCTGCGTCGTCGCTCCCCTACCTGGGGTTGGCCGCCGCCTCTTCCTCCCTCCTCACCCTCTTCTGGTTCCTCCGCGTCCCCTGCCCTCTGCCTCCTCCTCCTCCTCCTCCTTCTCCTCCTCCTCCGCCTCCTCTTCCTCTTCCTCCTCCTCCTCCTCCGAATCCGCCTCTGCCTCCTCCTCCTCCTCTTCCTCCTCCTCCTCTGGCTTCGGCCTCCTCCAACCCTGTTCATCCTTCTCCGCTTCTTCCACCTCCTCCTCCTCCTCCTCTTCCTCCTCCTCCTCCTCGGCGCTCCCCGCCCGGGGGCGGGCCTCATCATCCTTCTTTTCCCCCCTCTGCTGCTTCCAAGTCCTCGTCGCCCCTGGCGCCCTCCTGCACCTACAGCCAGCGGGGGCCATGGAGTCTGGCCGCGTCGCGCCCCAGCAGATTAATATTGCAGCGCGACGATGATTTCCTGCCAGAAGGCAGCGGCCAGAACAGGTGTTTCGGCGTCGCCGCCCGCCATGACTGCAAGAATGCAGATGGCGGCTGGGGCGTTCGCGCCTGCCCGGCCACCGATCCCAAACACACACGGCGTCACGTTTAGACGGGCGTACGGGCGGCGCTTCTCGCGTTCCTCATGGGCCGCCGCGGCTCCGTCGCGGCCGACGGCAATGCGCACACTGGCAGGGTCAACGTAGAGGCGAGGTCCAAAACCACTTTTCTGCCATCGTGATTGAATACCACGTCGAGCATGTCGCTCGGCAAGTTGCCGTCATCGGCGTCTTCCAGCATGCCCGCCCGCAATTTATTCGGACGCTGTTCCTTGAGCGCCCTGGGGTCGCCTCCTCCTCCTCGTCCTCCTCCTCCTTCTCCTCCTCCTCCGACCTTCAACATTCAACCTTCCTTTCCTGTCCCCCTTATCTTGCCCCATGATCGGACCAGGAAACACGGGAAGGAGAGGAACGAGAAGAGGAAGGAGAGGGGAGGAAAACAAGGGAGGGCAGGAGGAGGAGTGGGGAGGAGGGGAAAGAAGAGGAGCGGAAACATATGTGAAAGGAGGGATAGGAGGGATCAGAGGCGAGGAGGGGAGGAGGGGAGGAGGCGAAGGAGGCGCAGGATGTGGGGGGGAGAGGAAGAAAGTGAGCATGCAAACTGCTGGCGAACAAGCAAGACGACGCAGGCGGGCAGGCGCGCGCAAGTCTTCTGTCGTGCCGCCCCCATCCGCCTGGGCAGTATTCCACACGGCGCCCCAGCCGGTTGAGATGCCGCAGCCGAGGAGGCACGCCTTGTCGAGCGGCACGTCTCTTCGAACCTTGGATCGGCGGGGCCTCCGTCTCGCCCAAAATGCCGGCCGCTCAGAGGCTGGTCCATCTGGGCCCCGCCTGGGGTTCGTCTGGGGAAGGTCCTCCGAGCCGCGCCCGACCGGTGCGACAAGCACCTGCAGAAGCGCCTCAAAACTAGGAAACAAAGATGCCCTCGCCGTCGCCACCGTCGTCTTCGTCGTCGTCGCTGTCGCTGTCGCTGCCATCGCTCGAGCGGGGTGTCTATCCACGCCTTCGCGAGCGACTGTGCGTGGAGGACGCCGTACTCGGCGAACGAACTCGTGCCCATGAAGTGGTAAATCGGCTTACCCTCGTAGCTGAACCTTCATATTTCTTCCTCCTCCTCAGCCTTCTCCTCAGCACCACCATCTCACGCTCCATATCGCCTCTCCTCATCCTGATCCTCCCTCCCTCCTTCGCCCTCCTGGTCATCGTCCACCTCATCATCACGATCGTTCTCAGAATCAGCGCCGTCGTCGTCGTCCGCAGCCGCATTCGCAGCAGCAGCAGCAGCAACCTCCTCATCGCCATTCCCATTAAGATCCTCAGCATCGCCAGCCGTCAGCAGCAGCATCGCCACCGTCATCATCATCATCATCATCATCATCATCATCAACAACAACAACATCATCACCATCAGTTGCCAAGCTGACCCCCCCCCAAAAGGAGCCGCAACGATTTCAGAATGGGAAAATGTCCAACATGTTGCTGTCCTCGAGCTGGACCGCAAGAAATTATCGTGGAACGCCCGAGCGCCATGGAACGCCCGAGCGCCATCGAATCGCCGCGCGCCGCCTGCCCCCGCCACTGAACCACGCCAGGCGAGCCGCGGAAGCGCGACCAACGCGGCCCCCGAGCCAGGCTGCCACGTGACCGCCATGGAACTCATCGCCGCGATGACGCTTCATTCCGCAATCGTCGGGCATAGCGCCCGCGCGAATTTTGGGCGCGACCAGCCGTCGCAGCGCAGATGGAATCGGCGCGCGCGCAGCCGTCGAAAGGCCAGGTGCTGCCCCAGCCGCGCGGCCGATAGCTTGCGCAGGAGACACACCTCCCAAGCTGATTCACGATGGAATGCGCCGGCGCGGGACCGACGGACCACAAGAAAGGGCCACTTTGGAGACCCCGCGTGAAGAAGAAACGCTCGAGCGCGAGCGCCGCGTGGGGAATTGGCGGGACGCCGGAGGCGGTTGGATCTCGTGCCCGCGCAATTTGAGCAAACTCCGTTTCTGGGGAGTAGCGCTCGTGGGACCCACCGCCTGCGAGGGGGCCGCTGGCGCAGACTCTGCCGCAACCGCGGCGAGGCCCCGGCGCTCTCCCCTGGGGGCCACGGCGCGCGGCTGCGCTGGTGGCGGAAAAGAGGGGCCCGACGGCAAACGTCGGCTTCCAAGCCTCATCGGCCAGCCGCAGGCGCGGCGGCGCAATCGCGAACCCGCCGCGCGAGGCAGCGCATCCCGCCGCGAGGGCATCCTCTCCAACCGAGCGGGGGTCCCCGGGGGAGCCACTGGCTCCCTCCCCGACAACCCCGCCGCCTTTCCGCGGCGCCCTGCTCCCCCTCCCCGTTTGGCGACGATTTTGGACACTTTTTGGGGCCCCGATTTTGCGCACTTTTTTGGCCTGCCTTCCGCGGAGGCACACTTTATTGACCACGATTTTTCTTACAATTAAATCAATCAGAAAAAATCATGTTCAAACTCGTGGGTGGTTTCGTGGGGCCTTGCAAGGGGGCGCGGAATCGTGGCCGAAAATCGCGGGCAAAATCGTGTCCGAAATCGTGGGCAAAATCGTGTCCGAAATCGTGGGCGAAAATCGTGTTGCCGAAATCATGGGCGAAATCGTTTGCGCAGAATCGCGGGCCTGCCCGGTGCGCCGGCATGCCGAGCAGGCGTGCCCGCGCAACATCAGAGACGGTAGAGAAAAGCAATAACAAAAAAAAAGAGGGAGCGGCAGCAGTGGCAGGAAGGCCAGCTGCAGCAGCGGGAGAAGGGAAGAATGGGAGGCAGCAGCAGGAGAGGAGGAGAGGAGTCGTCGAAATTGGCCCGCCCGTTCGTCGCGCGCTCCATAGCGCACTGGACTGCTTCTCGGGGGAAACTCGCCGGCCCAACGGGCCAGAGGCGCGCAAAGATCTCCGGCGACTGCCTCGCAGCAATTCTACTTCGCGCGCGCGGGACGGCCAAGAGGGGCCCCAGACGCAAAGTGCCCTGGCCAGGTCGGGCCAGAGATGGTTCTTCTCCTGGGCGCGGCTTTCAGGCGCCCTGGAGCGATGCAAAAGGGCCCCAAGAGGCGCCCCAGATGGTCCAAGAGGGCTCCGAGTCGTCGAACGATCGGCCCGCGACACCCACGATGGCTTCCAGACGGCCCACGACGCGCACAAGACCCCCGAAGAGGCCACCGCGAGCTGAAACGATACCCGGAAACGCGAGTCGAAACTTAAAAGAAAAATGGTAGCAGAAAGACGAGGCGGAAACAGATCGGGGGCGACACCGCTCGAATGACGCGACGAAGCGAGATTGCGCGCAAGCCGCACGCCGAATGCCCAATATCGGAGCGGGTCGGCGACGCAACAACTTCTGAACAAAGAAAAACAGAACAACTCCGAAAATTAATATTTGTTGCTCTGGAAAAACACAAAATCGTTGCACCAATCCGCTCGGGGGACGCAGCTTCATGGCATCAGCAATGTCATCGTCATCATCAGTATCAGGATCAGTATCATCATCACCATCACCATCACCATCACCATCATCATCGTCATCATCATCATCATCATCATCATCATCATCATCATCGTAATCATCATCATCAGCAGCATCAGCATCAGCTTCAGCAGCATCATCATCATCATCGTCATTATCAAAATCATCACCGTCATCATCATAATCAGCATCATCATCATCATCGTCATCATCATCAGCAGCAACAGCATCACCAGCATCACAGTCGTCGTCGTCGTCAGCGTCAAAGCCAGCGTCAGCGAAATTGGTATCACCAGCACTATCGTAGTATTCAGCCTCATTATCCTCATTGTCGTAATCATCGTCATCATCATCACCATCATCAGCAACATCATCACCAGCATCATCATAATAATATTAACCTTCATATTTATCATCATCATCCTCAGTATCAGCATCATTATCAGCATCACCGTCATCATCATAATCAGCATCAGCATCAGCATCACCATCACCATCACCATCATCATCATCATCATCATCATCATCATCATCATCGTCATCATCATCATACTTAGCATCATCCACCTCCTCCACCTCCACCTCTCATCCTGTTCTTCCCTCATCCTCCTCGACTTGCATCTTCATTCCTCCTCCATCCTCCAGCATTCTCCCGTGATTCCTCTTCCCCCATGGTCCTACTCCAGCTTCTCATTCCTGATCGTTCCCCTCCTCCTCCTCCTCATCCACTGCTCCTCCTCCTTCTCCTCCTCCTCCTCCTCTTCCTCCTCCTCCTCCTCCTCCCCCTTTGACGACGACGGCGACGACCACTTCGACAACGACGACAACGGCGAGCCTGGGCTTTCCGTCGCCCGCCATCACACCCGAGCCGGTGAACTGGCGGACGGACGTGCAGAGATTGATGTCCGGTCTCTTGCAGAACTTGCAGTCGCCACAGTACGCCTCTGGCGTCTCTGCGGGAAGGGGGAACACGGCAGCGACGACGACGACCACGACGAAGACGACAACGATGACGACGACGACGACGACGACGACGACGACGACGACGACGACTACGACGAAGACGACGACGACGGCGGCGGCGGCGACGACGACGACGACGACGGCGCTGACGGCGACGACAACGACGACGACGCGGACGACGTGGACGATGACGACGACGGCGACGGCGGCGACGACAGCGACGACGACGGCGAGGACATCTTCAACTGGCCAGGGTGGACCCTGGGCGGGGCTGTGGAAAAGGCTTCTGAGCAGCGGCGGCCTTAGGAGGAGGGCCAGCTGAGACAACGTCGGCTCTCCCGCCCAGGCAACATCCGCTCGAAGTCCATCCCAGAACCCCGCCTGGGATCCACCTCGGCTCGTTCTTCGAGGCGGATCCAGCAGCAGCGACGAGAAGCCACCCGAGGGTACAGCAGAGGACGAGGCACGGCAGGCAGGGACGCCGCCGTCTCGACCTGGCCCTCCTCCTCTGGACGAGCACTCGGCACAGACCTTCGCTTTCGGAGCTCCGCGCAGATTCCTCGTGGGAGGCCAAAACATATACACCACCACCACCACCTCCCTCCCCCCTTCCTCTCGCTGCACAGGAGAGAGGAGGAATCGACGTGGTGGTGGTGTATATTCTTTGGGCCCCCACCTCGGGTTGATGCTGTAACCCCCTCCCCTGGCGCGCGGACCGCGCCAGGGCTCCAGGGGCGGCGCCAGAGGCGGCGCCAGGGGGGGGGGGGGTCCGGCGCCGACCCAAGAGATCCGCACGGACCCCTGCAAGTTCCTGCTTGCCGATGACACCGAGTTCCAGAAACCCGGCATCCAAAAATGCTGACGCTTCACTTTCACTCCCGCCGCCTTCCGCCGAGCCTCCGCCGGCGAACCCGCTTTCGTTTCACTTCCACCAGCTTCCGAAGGCATTCCGCTGGCTTCCGAAGAGGGCGAGACGCGCCGAAGGCGAAACCCTGCCTGGAGCGCCTCACCCCGATGATGAAAGCCCTGAAGCCACAAACGATAGTAGATCCTGGGGGTGGCGACTTTCAGCTTCCGTCGGATTCCGCCAACACTTCGCTAACGTCCGCCGGCGGCGGCGGTCCCGTTTTACCTCCGCCGACTTCCGCTGGCCCTCCGCTGGCCTTCCGCCGAGCAACAGAAGGCGCCATCTCGATCCCTCGAAGGTTGGGCCCGCGTTCCCAGAGATCCGACGTTCTGTTTTTGTTCATTGCGAGGTCCCCAGAAATCTCGGCCCCTTTCCTTGGACAGGTGTTCCACACCAAGCCGTTTTCTGGCGGTCCCGGGGCCCGGCGAGGGCCCCAAGAGGCCGAGAACAGCGAACAAAAATCCGTCTTGATTGTTTCAACACGTTGGAGGTCTGGGTTGGAGCGCGTCACATGACGGACTTCCCCGAGCGAGGTTCTCTTGACCCTTGCGGCTGCACACACGGGTGCGCTTCTTGACCGGATGGCGGGGATCGGTCGTGGCCGCGAGCCCGCACTTAACACAAGAACAGAGATTATTGAGGTCCTGGGCGCGCATACAAGGGCTGGGATGCACAACGCCCGACCCAATCCACACAGCCCAAGGGGTAGGGGGCGCTGGGGGCGAAAGTGGCAAGGCGCGAAACACACACAGGCGCAACCCAGCGCCACCCACATGCATGCTGTTGCAGGGTGGTTGCAGAAGCAGCTGCTCCTCCAGGGAGGCCAGCCTCTCTGAAGCCTGCATGTCCTCATTCGTTATGTCTTGCCCTCTTGGTATTGCATTGATCAGGATGTTGTCTATCATTATATCTACATCTTCCTTGATGCTCCACAGCCAGCTGAGACACAGACTTGCTCAAGCGTTTCGGGGCGTTTGGCTGGGTTTCTCTTTTGCCGGCGGGGAGGCGCGCCATCTCACGGCTTGCCTCTCTGTCTACACTTCGGTGCTGGAGGAGATCGAGGTCATTCACAGTGCCGTCCATCCCTTCTCGCGTTGACTACCTCCCAATGCCGCGATGTTGCTGGCTTGCCTAGTGTTCGCGTCCGCACGGCCACTCAGCCAGCCAGCTCCGCTGCCGGCAGCAAGGCACAGCACACTGGAGCCGCCTGGCCGCTCTGTCAACATTTCGATACAGTGGGAGGTCGAGGCCAGAAGTCGAATGGAGGTGGACGGATGACCGTCGCCCTGATCCGCTGCTGTTGCCTGCCTGGCACGGGTTTTCTCGCTCCTCTCTTGCCTCCATCATGTCACGTATCCCTTCTGGCGTTGCCGACCTCCCGGTGCCGCGATGTCGTCTGCCTGTCTCGTGCCCGCGTTCGCGCGTGCTGCGTGACGCTTCGGGCCCCTGAGGCCCAATAGCATGCCCAAAAAACGTCCTCGCCCCCCTCCTCCTGGGCGCCCAGCCCGAGGCCCGGCGCCCTTCTGGGCCCTCGCCCTCCTCGGGCGCCCCCCGCGATGAGGACTGTGGGCCTCCCCGGCGGGGGTGGGCTCGAAAGCCCGGGGCACCGGAGCGGTCAGGATGTCAGGGCCCTGCAGGAAGAGGCAGGAGGGAGAGGGAGGGCAGGAAGGAGGCAGGGGGCAGGAGGGCAGGAGGGAGGGGGAGAGGGGAGGCAATGGGGGAGGAGGGGGGGTGGGAGGAGGGAGGAGGGAGGGCGGGACGAGGGAGTGCCGAGTGAGAGAGCAAGGGGGCGGGGGAGGCAGAGAGCGGAGGGAGGGCGATCCTCGAACCTCGATCAGGTCGGACAAAGGAAGGGCCAGGAAGGCTCTGCAAGTAGGGCCTCCTCCTCCTCCTCCTCCTCCTCCTCCTCCTCCTGTGGAGCGCCCATGTGGGACCCCGATACCTGTGAGATGGATGCCAAAAAGGGGGCGGTGCCGCAATGCGGGCGCTTGCACTGGCGCATTGCACTGGCCCCGGTCGGGGGGGTAGCGAATCAGCTCATGCGGCCAGTTTTCCCAGCGCCTCCTGGCGCCAGAGGCACCAACGCATCGAGGAAGGTGCTTGGCGGCGAGGCCGAAACCGGCGGCACACAGCAGCTTTCGCACCCCCCTTTCCCAGTCCCCCCCCCCTCTTGTCCGCCACGAGAGGAGGACTGAGGCATCGGGTGCGCCGAAAAGGGGGGGGCAGGATGAGGGAAGTTCGCGCTTCATGACCAGAGGCATGTGCGCGGACGAGGAGGGAGCCACTGAAAGATGAAGAGGCCTGAACATCTGTATTCTTGACTGGTATCCGCCATGATACTCACACACACACACCTAATCCGCATCACCCTCGTCGACGCCTGGTGGCTTTCGGGTCATGCCTCAAACGGCCGTTTCGGGATGAATTGGGACAACCACGGAAAGCCCCCGACGAGGCGCAGTCCCTGGAAAGCATCCCGCGGCGAGAAAGCCCAGCATAATCAAAGAAAGCCTCCTCAAAGGGCCAACGGACACGTCCTGACCTCCCTCGTCGGCGCCCACGGAAGCATGCCTGGTAGCACGGGATGACGTGGTCGCCGGGCTTGAAGCCCTCCACACCTTCGCCTACGCTCTCGACGATGCCAGAGGCCTCGTGGCCTGCCACCCTCCACGTGCCCTCTCGCTCCACCTCCCATTCCTCCCGGTCCTCCTCGTTCCATTCCCCTTCCTCCTTCCCTGCTCCTCTCCTCGCTCGCTCGCCCGCGAACCCAATGGAAAATAGGCTCGAAGCCTAAACTGGCAGGAAAAAGAGAAAAGCGAAGAAAGTACAAATACCCCGTGCACGTGCAAGGAGAGGGGGAAGGAAGAGAGAGAGAGAGAGAGGCGTTCCTCCCCTCCTCCTCCTCCTCTTCCTCCTCCTCCTCCTCCCCTGCCCTCATCCTCCTCGTCCTCCTCTATTCATTCTCCTTATGAATACATCCTCCCTGTCGCACACCCACACGTGTCAGAAGGGCGGGTAAGCCGTTTCGCCTGAGAGTTCCTCATCATCTCTGATCCTCTGAAACACAAAAATTGCAGCAGCTTGCAGGATAGAAGGCGGCTATTTTCTGAGTGTAACTCTCACCCTGGCGCCTCGCACATTTGTCTCAATATGTTGTCCCAGCTTCAAGGATGGAGGGAAGGCCGTTTTCACAAAGTAGCTCTCGCTGCAGCGCCGCGCACATTCGTCTGAAAAGTGTGCAGCAACTCAATAAATCGAGGACGGCCCGCTGTCAAAAGCTTGTAACAGCTTCAAGGATAGAGGGCAGTCCTTTTCAAAATGCGTCTCCGCCCTCAGCGCCGCGTACAGTCACCTCAAAAAGTCGGAGGGCCGAAGTCCCATGAATGGTGCTCTGCCACGACTCACGACTGTCAGGACTCAGCATTCAAGTTGATTCGCGGCGTTCGAGTCCCAGGAATCTTTCATTCTGGTACGATTTGCGACTGTCAGGACGCGACAGTCACGCTGATTTGCGGCGCTGAACTCCAACGAATGGTGTTCTAGCAAGGTTCCGGATTCTCAGACGGTTGTCATTCAATGGGGCACTACTTCCCGGAATAGATTGAAATTATTGTAGAAACATATGAAGAAGGAACTTGGAGTGAGGGTTTATAGCAATATCGTTGATGCGCCTTCGCTTTCCACCGGAGCCTCCTCCTCCTCCTTCACATTATCCTCCTCCTCCTTCTCCTTCTCCTTCTCTACCTCCTCCTCCTGCTCCTCTGTTAACTATATGTGCCACCTTGACTGGAGGGCCACGCCCGATGGCAACACCCCAGCGGGCCACGTCCCAGCCACGGCTTCTTCTTCCTCCTCCTCCTCCTCCTCCTCCTGCTCCTCCTCTTGCCAAATCACATCCCCCATCCCCCTCCCAGGATGCACGGGAACAGGCCCTCGGGGTCAAGGCCGTCTAACGTGTATGCGTCCGTGTGACAGAGGGCCACGTAGCTGGTCTTGATCCGGACCTCGCCCTTCTGCGGTGGCCCGACCTGGACGATGTGTCTTGCGTGTGCGTGTCCTTCTCCTCCTCCTCCTCATCCAACCCCTCCTCCTCGTCGTTCTCCTCCTCTTCCTCCACCTCCTCCTCTACATCCTCCTCCTCCTCCTCCTCCTCCTCCACCCCCTCCTCCTCGTCGTTCTCCTCCTCCTCATCCTCCTCCTCCTCCACCTCCTCCTCTACATCCTCCTCCTCCTCGTGCTCCTCGTCCTCCTAATCCTCTTCCTCCTCCAACCCCTCCACCTTCTGCTGCTCCTCCTCCTCCTCCTCCTCCTCCTCCTCCTCCTCCCCTCCATATCATGAGCATCATCATCATCATCATCATCATCATCATCATCATCATCATCATCAGCATATTCACCATCATCAGTATCTTCAGCAGCATCGTCAGCATCATCATCATCAGCATCATCACCATCACCATCATAATCATCACACTCATCATCATCATCATTATCATCATCATCATCATCACCATCAGTCTCAGCAGCATCATCATCACCATCAGCATAACCATCAACATAAGCAGCATCATCATCACCATCACCATCACCATCACCATCACAACCACCATCCTCATCATCAGCATTATCATCAGCATCATCATCATCATAAGCAGCATCATAACAGTCAGCCTCATCAGCATCAGCTTCATCATCGGCATAGTCATCAACATATGCATCATCAGCGTCACCATCACCATCGCCATCACCATCATCATCAGCAGCAGCATCATCAGCAGCATCAGCATACTCATCAACATCACCATCAGCATCATCAGCATCAGCTTCTTCATCAGCATAACAATCATCATAAGCATCATCAACATCATCATCACCATCACCATCACCATCACCATCACCATCACCATCACCATCACCATCACCATCACCATCATCATCATCATCATCATCATCATTATCGTCATCATCATCATCATCATCATCAGTTTCATCATCATCATCATCATCACCATCATCATCATCATCATCATCATCATCATCAACATCATCATCACCATCAACATCATCATCGTTATCACTCTCCTCAGCCTCCCCCTCCTGTTCCTCTTCCCCCCCTCCACCTCCTCCTGCTCCTGCTCCTCAGCACCCCCTCCTCCTCGTCCAGGTCGAGGGCCCCACTTTGACGAGGAGGCAGAGGACGAGGCGGAAGAGAAGAGCGCTGGAGAAATGGGGCAAGAGAAAGGAGGGGGAGGCGCGGGAACGAAGAGGTGGGAAGCACCTAGCAGCTCGGAGAGCGGGTGGGAGGGAAAGGAAGAGGGCAACCGCACGCCTGGACCTGGTGGACACCTGATCTACAGTGGGTCAGGTGCCAGGGCCGCGGATGAAGGGAGGGAGGAGGGGGCCCGAGACTCCAATGACTCCGCCGAGAAAGCGAACGAGCCATGACTGGTTGAAATCGGAAAAGACGGCTACACAGAGCCACGTAGGATGTGTCACGGCGTGTCACGGCGCAGGGGGGTCCTAGCTCACAGGCTTACGGACCGTGGATCGAAACCGACCAGAAACCCAGGAGGAGGGGATGGAGAAGAGGCGTGAGAAGGGGGGGGGGCGCAAGCCAGGCGCGCTCGCGCCACCTCTGACGGCCTTCCCATCCCTCCCATCCCTGTCGATTGCGTTGGCTGCTCTCTATTCGCAAGGCTGGGTGCGACCTTATCCCATGCGAGTCGAGAGCTGGTGGGCGTGAAGGAGGCGGAGACGCCAGCGCCACGGCGAGAGCGACCCTCTGTTAGACGAGGGCCAGATGGAGGTTCTTCATTGTGGCACACGCTGCAGCTGGAGCATTACTTTTGCTGGTGCAGGACGACGGCCAGCGGTGCGGCGGCAGCGCCGATCCGTTGGGCAGATGCTCTGTGAAGACCATGACACGTGTCGCATGCTGAAGCGGGAGCAGCAGTGTCGCCGATGCAGTGGTACGGCCACAGGTGCAGCGAGGTCGCTGTCGCCCTGGGCGGAGGCTCGGCAGAAGCCCGCACGCGGCAGAGCCTTCCGCGGGAGCCCCACGTCCACTGACGCAGAGTACGGCCAGCGCGAAGGCGAGAGCGTCATTCGGCTGGACGGAAATAATCTGGATATCCATGAATTGGGCAAACCCCTTCCCCCAGCTGCAAAGCAAGGCCGGAGGGAGAACCCGCTGCCCCTCAAGGGGGCGGTCCAGCACCACGGGCAGGGGAGGCGAAGCACCAGGCGAATGCAAAAACATCGCCGGAGCGGTGCAGAACGCCTGCTCAACAGGCAAGCGTGGCCGAAGCACCGTCGATCGAGGTCGACCGTGGGGCGAAGAGACCAAAAACAAGCAATGATCATGGACTCGGGAGGAGGGAGAAAGGAGGAGGAGAGGAAGGAGGAGGGAGGAGGAGTCGAATAAGACAACATGCTGCAATGCATGGAACATCGAATGTTGGGCGCATGCATTCGCCAACTATACATGCTAAGTCTCATGGTGGCCTGGTGGGCACTGCGGCGCCGGGCAGACGCGACGCTGCACCGCAGCGGCTGATAAGGGTGGGCCTGGGCGGCCAAAATTGCACAGGGTCGGCCAGCAGCGGCCGCAGGCACCTTCGCGCAATGCCCGTGCAGGCAGTAGGGACTAGGCTACCAGATCGGACAAGGGGGATGGGAAAGAGGAGGGAAGGAGAGGAAGCGGGTGCACGCGCCGAACGTCGCGGCCGATCCGCATGGCCTCCAGGCAGCGTGGACAAGCTGACACACCAGTTCGAAGTCGAAATCCTTGAGTGCCCTACCCGCGCTGTGCCGATTACGAGCTCTCCGCAGTCTAGATTTGAAACTCCCAGTGGCTGAATTCGGGGAGGAGCGAGGACGAGATAGGCAGAGGAAGCAGAAAGCCGGCCTACCCCAGCAGGGTTAGCCGGCGTTCGGCATCCGGGAGGAAAGGGCGGGAGGAAAGAGACGAGGGAGAAGGGCAGCTCGAATCAGCTGCTCCGTGCGCCGTGCCCCAGACTCCATCGGCCACGCGGCCGGGGCGTGTGTGGCGGCATCAGGGATCTAGGACTCAGCACGCACGTGCGTGGCGGCATCCAGCGAACACATGCACAGTTCGACTCAGGCCGAGTCCAGGGCAAACCCACTCCACGAGTCCATCGGCAACGTGGCCGGGACAGGGGCCTATCCCCAACGGTGTTTGGTCGCACTGTTCCGGGGTCCACACAGACAAGACACAAACAGTCAGAAATCCGACTTTAGCTATTTGACCACATGCGTCTTGCACATATTCGTAACGCAACAAAATTATCACGAATTTCGGCTCTCAAACGCGTACTCAAATCACTATGATCACTCAGAACTGTGATGTGCCATCCTCGTTGCACAGGACAGGCGGCGCAATGATCGGAAACTTTGTCAAGATTGCAGCGCCCTGCGGCGATTTAAACGGTCGCCGCTGGGCGGACCAGAAGGCGCGAAAGTGGACAACGTGGTTGCCAAAAAGCACCCGTCCGAGAAGAGTGAACACCATGCGCCCGCCTATCCTGAAACAGATGGCGCGATTTATTCTCTCCGACCGGCACATGCCGCCCAAAATACGCTATAGCCCCGGGCTCGGGTAGAAAGGGGGCAGGAGGAAGAGGAGGGGGGGAGGAAGAAGGAGGAGGAACAGGTGAGGCGTCGATGCCAGTCGGCTGTTGGGGCTCTGGCCACACTCGAATATGGCAGAGGTGCGCGGCCCCCGCGGAGGTGCAACTGCGCGCAGCACTCCGCGCTGCGCGGCACGGGACGTGTACACACGGCGGGAGGAGGGAGGCGAGGGAGGAGGGAGGACGGACAGGATGAGGGAGGGGAGGGAGGAACAAACAAAAACACGGTGACGTTGTAGGGGAAGAGGCGGGGAAGGGTGCCTCACTTCATGAATCCTGGGCCCATCGCCAGTCCACGGCGGCGTCGTACGCTACTGCGGCCGCCGCGTTGCCGCGCACGGCCTCACGGCAGGATTGGCGGAGAGCCTCCTCTGCCGCGCCGCGGCGGACCTGCCTGCGTCGGCAGAGGCAGCGCGTGCGATATGCAACGCGCAGCCGGAGAGGCCACCCGCGCCGTGTGGCCCGCCGGCGCGCTGGTCCGCAGGTCCCAGCCGAGGAAGGCCGCGAACCGCGCCTCCAGCGTCGCCGGGCGAGGCAGCCCGAGCAGCCGGTCGGCCACTGCATGCAGCCGCGCGCATTGCGCGCAATGCTCCACCGAGTCGGGCGCGTCAGGCGAGCAGATGAACATGCAGCCTGGGAGACCATGCCGGGCCATGCCAGCCCTGGGTCCGTCGAAACGTCGCCCAGCCGTTTCACAGGGGTCTCCACACTGCTGCCCAGACCCTGGGCGGCACTTTGTTCCTCAGGGCCGACAGGAAGACGCATCGTGCAGCGGGAGCATCCCTATTGAAAGGCCAGGAACGTTCTTGTTCAACAAAGCCATATCGAGAGCAAACTCTGGACACCCGTGGAAAACACGGCGCACGAATATAGACAGCATCAGGGGCGAGATGAGAGTAGCACTCATATCGTGTAAGCGTGGAGGAGGGATGCGGGAGGGGGCAGGTCGGTCGGTCGGACTCGGTATTGAGTCTGCGCGCCGTCTTGCTCGAGGCTCTCACCCCGGAGGCCAAGGTGGGGTACACATTTCATTATTTCGACCGCCGCCCTTCCCAGCGGAAGGAGACCCAGCCCTGAGTCCCAGGCGGTAAAAAAGGGCAACGAGAAGGGAGCAGAAAAATAAGCCAGCCTTCACCTTGACAATCTCCAGCGGCTTCTTCGGCTCGAACGCCACCGCCGCAAGGCACTCGATCTCTTTGCCAGCAGAGTCGAAGGTCTCGGCTGGCCCGGAATACACAGAGGCAGAGGGCAGCATGCCTGGAGGCGGGGGGGGGGAAGGAGGGAGGATGCAGAGCAGGAGTGGAGGAGTGATGATGATGGCGGTGATGGTGATGATGTTGCATTTGATGGCTATGTTGGTGAAGGTGATGGTGATGGTGATGGTGATGGTGATGCTAGTCTTGATGATGGTCACGGTGATGGTGGTGATACTGGTGACGATGGTGGTGACAGTGATTGTGGTAGTGACGGTGATGATGATGATGCTGATGATGATGATGCTGATGGTGATGAGGAGGAGGAGAGAAAGGAGGAGATGGAGGAAGCGCCCATCATGGAGGCAATGATCCCAACGTGGCCCGTGAGCGGCGAAGACCAAGTGCCCGCGAGCCTGCCCTTGGCGGAATCGCGCCTTCAATCACCAGAGGCACGCTCATCAGAGCCCTCTAGCCGTGGCGCTGCTCTGATCTCACAACGGAGGGAATGCAGCTCTGGAGCGGAAAAGGAAGACGAACAAGAGGTGGAAGGCCAGAGGAGGACGAGACCAAGATCCAGATGACCTCGCAACGGAGGGGAACTCAGTTCGACGGCGAAAAAGGAAGACGAGGAGGAGGTTGAGGCCAGAGAAGGGTGAGGCCCAATATCATTATCCCCGCTGTTCTGGCCGCCTGCGTCTGGGCACCAGCGTAGCATTCCGGTGAGGTAGGAGGCGTGGTACTTCAGGTGGTCCTGGGCGAAGGCGGGAATGAAGATAAGGAGGAGGAGGAGGAGGAGGAGGAGGAGGAGGAGGAGGAGAAACGGGATAAAGGGGGGGGATGCCCTCATCCCCATCCTCCCTCCCTTCTCCGTCCTTTCATTTCCCTCCTCTCGGCTGCCTCCCACTTCTCCCCTCCTCCTAATATTCCTCCTCGGTTGTCCCCCTCCTCCAAAGCAAAAATGAGTCGGTCCTGGACGAAGGTGGAGATGAAGTAGTACGAGTGGTCATACCCCTCCTGCATTCGGAGCATCAAATTGATGCCCTTTTCGTCGCAGACCTTCTGCAGGTTCTCTGGCTTGAGCTGCTCTACTAAGAAATTGTCGCTCGTTCCCTGGTCCACCAGCAGGCGGACTGGCGGCCCAGAATAATTCTTGAGAAGCTCAACGGTGTCGTATGCCTTCCAAGTCGCCTCGTGAAGGAAGCGGGGGAGGAGGAAGGAGGAAAAATACGAGGAGGAAAAGGACAAGAAGGACAGAGGATGATACGGAGAAGGAGATGGAGGAGAAGGAGGACGAGGAATAGGAAGAGCCTAAGAAAGGTGAGAAGGGAAGAGGAGGAGGAGGAGGAGGAGGAGGAGGAGGAGGAGGAGGAGGAGGAGGGGGAGGAGGAGGAGGAGAGATATGGGGAGGGATGGGGAGGGGACACGACCAGGAGGAGAGAGCAGGACGCAGGCCAAGGGCAGGCAGGGCGAAACAAAATATGAATGAGGAGGAGGGGGGGGGGAGTCCAGGGACCCCGCCCCTCCCCCCACCCCCCCGAGAAAGAGAGAGGGAGACAGAGAGAGATCGAGAGAGAGAAGAGAGAGAAATGCACGAAAACCCTCAAACGTGCGAAGTCCTTCAAAAACGGTCATCCTCCGTCCCTCCTCCTAACCTAGCCAAGACAAGCGACAGCGCCCCTCAGCCCCTTCTTATCCCTCCTTTTCCCTTCCTCAGTTTCCCCCGTATCCCGACGGGGCCTCCTCCTGTCTATTCCCTTCCTCCCCTCCCCTATCCAGCCTTCTCTCCTGCTCCTCGCCCCGCCCCCCCCCCTTGTCCCGCTTCGTCCCGTCCTCGCCCTGTCGCCCCGCCTTCACCCGAGGCCTGCTACCTTCGACCACCTTTCTGCCCCACCCCTGGCCCCCGGAGAAGAGGAGGATGAGGATGAGGAGGAGGAGGAGGAGGAGGCACAGCGTTCCCCAGGATGTCTGTCAGCTTACGCCCCGCTTCGCAGCTCGACGACTCTCCGCCTTAACATGCCAGCATCGAGGAAAAAGGACTGGCGGTGACGCAACGGAAGTCGGATCGCGATGCGGGCTGGGGCCTGCAGCGCCGCGGCCTCCTCGAGGGTCAGGGGATGACCTGCCCTCCCTGCGCGGGCCGCAGCAAGACGACATAGATGATACATAGCGATGACAAAGACAAAATCACCTCTGAGACCGAGCCGAACGAGGATACACGAAGGAAGATCGGAGCGGAGAACGATGGCGGCGTGAAAGTGGAGACGGCGGCAGTGGCAAAGGTAGTGGGTCGCCGTCCCTAGGACATCGCAACCGAAAATGCATTGCTGCAGGCGCTGCATACGGCATCCTGTGATCCAGGCGCCGAGCCAGGCGCGCAACATGATGGGAGGCCACGACGGGGGCAAATCCCGCAGGCGCTCTCGAAGGAATTCCCAGTCCCCCCCCCCCCCGCCAAGAGTCGGAGCGAACCACGCGCGCACTCGTCGTTCCAGAAGGCCCTCGAGAGAGAGGGAGAACACTGCTGCCTGCAGCTCCGCCGCGAAAATCCGTTGCCACTTGGGCCTGGGGATCGTAGAACCTTCAAGGAACCGCCGAACCGCCCTCCCGCCGCCCACACACAGCCTGCGATCCCCAGGAAATCCCTTCGCAGCGGCTTCGAGGTAAAGGACAAGAGGCGGGGAACGCCAGAAGGCAGGGGCGAGGAGGGGCGACTGCCAGAGCGACATGGGGCAATGCTCGACAAGACCGTCCCGAAGCATGCGGAGAGTATGGGGGCGAGTGCGGGAGCGTGACAAGAGCGGTACGCATGGCAGCGGCGGCAGCAGTGATGTAGAGCGACCGCACTCGTGGGCCGCCCCAAGTGCCGAGATTAAACCAATCGGAGTAACGGAGTGCCGACATCGGCCACTTGAAGACTTGGGCCAGAAACTGCCGCTCGATGTTGGCGACCTCCCAAGGGATCGGGACCAACTGCAGAACATCTGATGGGACACTGAGCGCCCGCTGGCTGTAAAGAGATACCCCCGTCGAGAGATCCTGCCCCACATCCGCGATCGCCCTAGTCCTGGCGGCCATCTTGTTGAGAGGAGCACGAAGGTTGCGCAGAGAGTCGACCCCAGGACCAGGCCAAAACCCCAAGTACAGAACCCCTGGGGCAATTTCGAATTCCCCCCAGCAGGCCGAGCTCGGTGGGTTGGTGGCTTCGGGACGGGCGCGGGTGCATTCGCGGAGGAGCCGTCGAAAGTCGCTGGCGAGACTATCGGAGAGGGCAGCACTAAGCGGGACGACACGGCATTTCTCGGCTTTAAGAGTGAGCCCCGCAAGATGTCCAGCATTACGGAAGATGCGGGCAGTCTCACGATAGCCTTTCCGAAATGAAAGAACGGCGCCGATGTCATCTGCACAAGCCCGAATCTGGCCATGACCTGGTCTCTGCACACTACGAAACACGTCCCAGAGAAAGCTATCAATCGCAATGGCAAAAAGGCTGCCGCTGAGAGGACAGCCTTGAAGCACGCCAGAGATCATGAAGAAGAGAGGGAGAAGGAGACCGCGGACAGCGAAGAGACAGGGATTGAGATGATAGAAGCCTTGAACCGCGAGCGAGCACCCGCGAGGGAGTTTGACCTGCCGCAGCGCACTCATCAGCCAGGGTTGGCTGACCGATGGAAAGGCTTGGGCAAAGCCGAATGCCACAATGGCCCCTTCTGGTAGCCCTCGTGCACTGATGAGTCTGGCGTGAGCATCGAGCTCGTGTGCGTTTGAAACGAAGTTGCGGCCTCGAATGAAGCCTCGCTGCACGGGGGCGCCAATCTTTTTCACCACATCCGACAGACCCGAGTTGGCGACCCCAGCAACGATCTTGTTGCTCGTTTTTTTTTCTTTTTCAAACCGATGGGGCGGGTGTCCTTCCCATGGCGAACAACCCCTCCAGAGCGCTCATCATCGCCATCGAGGACCCCCTTCGGACTGAAAACCTGCAGACAAGCATAAAAGTCGAGATGCATACGTTGGCCGCTCGCCAGCCAGTGGAACGCGTTTTAAAAGGGCCTAATGGCCTTGCCCGAATCCCCAGGCGGCATGCGCAAGCCCATCAGGGCCAGGTTCCGCGCGCGAAACACGCCGAATAAAACGTCGGATCGAGGCGAGCGAGGGAGGGCAGAGTTGGGAAAAGTCCTGCTCCAAACTTCGAGAGATAGCGCTGACCCCAGCGCGGGACTTCCTGCTGCTTTTCAAAGATCGGGCTCCAGTAGGCCCTGAGGGCCGCAATCTGGCCCTCGGCAGAGGCATGAACAGTCGAGGCAGCCCCGTCCAAACCGCCCTCAACCACTCCCGCCAAGCACCTCCTCCGATTAAATGGGGGCCAGATCTGGGCACGGCGTCTTAAGGCTCTCGCTTGGGAACGGAGACGAGCTTGGCGTCCTTGCGCCCTAGATGCCCCTTCAGCCCGCTGGAACCGTTCGGTTTCGGCCTGGGCCCCCTGGAGCTGCAAATCGGAATGCGCACGGGCAAAGGCATCGGGGGAGGTGAGGGCGACAGACGAGGACGACGGGTCCACAGAGAAGAAGGAACGGAGCCACGGATGCCTTTGCCAGAGGATGTTACCCAAGCGAAAATCCTGACGCCAAACAGCCCGAGCAAGAGAGCGCAGGAGCATGGAGCGGCTCTCACGAATCCTTGGGCGGTCACGCAGCTGCAGATCGCGGACAGCCCGCGCAGCAGCCTGCCGGCAGCGAGTCGCCAACTCAAGCTCCGTCGGCGCCGAGAGGTGGAGGTCCGCCGCAGAGGAGCATGCGAACGCGTCGAACTCGCCGATGCCAGCAATCTTCTCGTACTCCACAAGGATCGGCATGTGGAGGGGATCGCTGAAGATGCTGCGAGGGATCCTCCGAGAGCGGGGCTCGCCATTGGACTCCTAACGCCGCGATTGCCATGAGACCTCCAGCGGGACGATGTCTGAGAGGAGCGCGTCGTGGTACTCTTGAGGTTCACCGCGGTGCCGAGCGCATTGCCAGAGCTGGCAGAGAAGGAGGCGTCGCCGTGAAGCACCTGTCAAAGCGGGGGCCCGCGCGCGTGCCCACGTGGAAGTGGCTGTGGCCAGGTGCAACGAGCTCCGTGAGGCGCCTAAAGATCCTCGCCCATCTCGAGCGCCCAGCGTGGGACTGGCGCCCAGCGGAGGCGCGCGCCGCGGCTGAGCCAGCGGGGCCAGGGGCGGGGCGACGCAGGCGACCGCGGACGTAGACCAGCTCCGCAGTGGAGTAGTCGACCTCCTCGTCGGCAAGGTTGAACGCCGATCATGAGGATGCTGAACTTCAGGGGGTCGTGGCGAACCTCCTCCAGCTGGGGCGAAAGCGCTTGCCAGGTGGCGGCGAAGTCCTTCGCTTCAAGATCGTGTTTGTGGACGTTCCAGTGGTGCCAGCAGAAACCATAGCGCATGTGGACGAGCCTCAGGCAAAGCACCCCCCCCCCACCGCGATCTCGAGGGGCGCGACCTGGATGTCTGTCATGAGGGAAGAGGGGATGAGAGTGCACGCGCCACCACGTCCAGCAGAGCCAAAGACCGCGACCCCACCGCGAAGACGTGAGAGGAGTTCCTCAACAGCAGCGGGGGGACCATGAACTTCTTGTAGGGCCGTGATGGAGGAGGGCGAGAGGAGGGGGCGCACGATGTCGGCCTTGCGGGCCACGACGGAGGACTGGTGATGAAGTAGAGCACGGCAGTTCCAGCTGTTGAAGATCAGCTGGTCGGAGTTGCAGAACGCGTCACCCACTCCACTCAATTTTCTTGGGCAAGAAGAGCTCATTGGCAAGCCTGTCCATATCAGCCCGAGCCAAACGGAGATCAGATAAGGCGCCCCATATTCCATTGCACCTTTGCGGGCGCGGACGGGTCGACGATGACGCGGGCGAGGACCTCCCAGTCGATGGACAGCGTGCCCGCGTCCTTGTCCACGAAGACCCTTTTCCCAGTGAGGTCCTGGAGCTTGTCGCGCAGCCTCTTGGTGCAGCGCCCCCTGGAGATCTCGAATATGTTGCGATCGATGCCGACGTAGATCGGGACGCGCCGCCCACCAGGCATCGGGGCGGAGAATTGCCGCCAGACGCCGTGGGCGTCCCGAAGGAGTGCATGAGCCTGACGAACCCGCGCAGCACACGTGGTCGCGAGACCCTTGAAGCGAATGATGAACCTGCGGCCCAGCTCGTCGCCCTCGAGCTCAAAGTCTTTGCCCATTTCGTAGTTGGCATCCTGCAACCAGCTAGCCAGCGAGTCCACGACCAAATTCTTGCTAACATCCTCCTTCGCCGTGATGACGAAGATGCCAGGGTCGGCGGCGCGCTGCCACTCTGCGGTCTGAGCAATGAGCTCGCGAGGGGCGGCGCGGGCGAGGTCCAGCACCTGCTCCAGCTTGGCGAAGTGCTCCGTGAGGGAGGAGTGCGCGGACTCGGCAGCGCCCAAACGCTTTTCCATCTCGACCATGCGGAGCTCCTGGGCTCTGAACCTCGCTTGCATCGCTGAGTCCAGCTGGGCGACGAGGGGCTGCACCACGTTTGAGATGGTTCGCGGGAGCTCAGAGCGGACCATATTGGCGATGGACTCGACGGAGGCGCGAGACATCTCCGCAATGATGTCGGACTTGAAGCGCTCGAGCATCTCGGACATGCCAGGGATAGCGTCCGCCAGTGCGGCAGCCTTGCCAGGGGCCACTCCAGTAACTGAGGCGTCACCAGGAGCATGTGGAGGAGGGGCACCAGAGCGACCAGGGGAGCGGCGGAGGTGATCAGCCAGAGGATCAGCGCCAGGTGGCCAGCGCGCAGTGCGGCCAGGCTCGAGAGGCGGCGTGGGGAGACCCACGATCGGCGTCCCAGGGGCCCGCAGACCAGCATCATATTCAGGAAGGGCGCCAGGGCGATGCGCCTTAGCCGGCTCGGCGGCGGCCTGCTCGTTGTTCGGGAAAGAGGGGTACGGGTCCAGCATGTCGGCGCCTTCCCGAGACATCGGTCCGCAGAGGGCCTCACCACGGGCTGTGCTGCGACCGGCGCTCCATGAGCGCGGGAGGCTGGCGGAGCCTGAAGACGGGGGCCGATGGCCATCGCGACGAACACGGCGAGCAGCACCAGCCGAGGGAGATGCCGACGAAGAGGAAGACATGTCCGAGCCATCCGAGCGCAGCACCTGCCTGTGAACATTATTGTCCTTGCGGCGGCCGCTGTCCATGGGAGGGAACTCTGGGCGATCAGGCAGGCAGGAACGGGAAAAGCCTCCGTTTACCCGCCAGCCCAAGCGCGGATCGGTGACAAACTCTGCCAGGCCCCAAGGGTCTTGCCCGCCGCGGACTAGCGGTATCCGCTTGTTCCACTGAGGAACATGGGACCTTGAGCCAAGATGGCTACGGAGGAGGAGGAGGAGGAGGAGGAGGAGAAGCAAGAGGAGGGAGAGGAGGAGGAAGAGGAGGAGGAGGAGGAAGAGGAGGAGTTGTAGGGGGGAATGAGGAGGAGGAGGAGGAGGAGGAGGAGGAGGAGGAGGAGGAGGAGGAGGAAGAGGAGGAGGAGGAGGAGGAGGGGGAGGAGGGAAGGAAGTGAGGGAGGAAACGGGAGGAGGGAGGAGGAGGAGGAGAAAGGGAGGCATCCGAGGATGAGGAATCTGAGGGAAAGGAGGAGGATTATGATGAGGATGATGAGGAGGAGGAGGGGTAGGAAAAGGAGGAGCAGGAGCAAGGAGGAGTACGAACAGGATGGGTCCTCGACCCTTGATCCATATGGGGCTCACTGTCAGCCCGTCACAATGCACAACACGAAACGCACCATGCGCAACGCAATAGCGCCTGCATCGGCGTGCCCTGACACGCGGGGTGGTCGAGCGTACCGATGTCTGCGAGGCGCTGTCTCCAAAGAGATCTGTGCAAAGCTGCTGTCGCAGACTTCTTGCGCCCAGCTGGAGGCACACCTTCGTTTGCCAGCTGTTTGCAACCGAAGATGATGGCCGTCCTCTGCTGTACTCCACTGCTGCGTTCCAAGAGCGCGTCGTAGTGGCTGGATGCAGTAGCGGCGCGAGCCCAGCAATCGGCATGACAGTGAGCCCGCGGAGTACGCCTTAAGCTCACGTGTAGCCATACGCTGTTCCACGCCCTGGGGATGCCAGTAGGCCCTCTTCAGCTATGCCGTAGGCGGTGCAGTAGAAGCGCTCTCTATGTTGCCCATGAATGTGGCAGACTGCGTGCGTAACATGTCCGCCTGCTGGGGGGATGACCTGGTAGCACACGGGCTGCATGATGTAGTCTGGCGGGTCGTCCAATGTCAGGTCGCTGGTGTCAACGATCTGCCGCCAGAGGTCGCCCATGGACCTGGTTTCGACCATCGCGTTGCAGGGAACGGCTGTAGTCGTCACCTGTCATGGGGTTCACCAGTGGCGGCGGTATGTCTTCGGCAATGTCCATGAGGTCCTGGTCCGCGAGTGCGAGCGGGTCCTCGTTCGGCAGGTCGAAGTTTACTGGCATTCTCTCCCAACCATGGGGTTTGAGCGCCTCCCACCTCTGACTCATCAAGATGTCGAGCCTACCCTGGTTTTCCTGATCAGTTAGTCTTCCTGGAAGTTCGCGGCCCCGCTGGGGCCTGGCATTGAGCTCCTGCCGTTCTATGATGTTCCTTTGCCTTTGACTTTCGGGGTTGTGCGCCTTCTTAGGTCCAACGTGGTGGGCGAATGGGCGCGGCATGAGCAATCGCGTCCAGCAAAACTTCGCCGACCCTTGGAGCCGAATGGCCTGGCCGAGGTGGGGTTTCCACGGAAAGAGAGGAGAAGGGAGGAGGAGCGAGTAGGAGCAATGGGGGCGCGACAGGGAGGAAATAGTTGTAAGGTGGTAAGGTGGAGGGATGGAAGAGGACATGGTGCTGCGAAGCCACCTCGTCGGCCCCGAGGTACAGCGGGAAGGCCTTCTTGCCCCAAGGCGCCTCGGTCCAGCTGGCCGACCAGCTTCCCCATCCCCATTATCATCATCATCATCATCATCATCATCATCATCATCATCAGCAGCAGCAGCAGCATCATCATCATCATCATCATCATCATCATCATCATCATCATACTCATCATCATCATCATCATCAGCATCAGCAGCAGCACCATCAGCATCAGCATCATCATCATAAACAGCATCATCACCAGCACCACAACCACCACCATCATGATCAGGGTGACAATCATAATCAACATCGTCATCATCACCATCATCATCCTCATCACCATCACCATCACCATCGTCACCCGCAGCAACATGATCAGCCGTATCAGCATCATCACCATCACCACCATCATATCAATATTCGTCACTATCAGCGCAATCAATCAACCGCATCATCAGCATCGATACCGTCATCATCATCGTCATCATGATCATGACCATCATCATTATCATCATCAGTAGTATGATCAGCATCGCCATCACATCATCATCGGCGTGCTCATCATCAACCTCGACATGCTCATCCTCATCATCCTCGTCCTTCGAAGCAGCAACATCACCATCCTCATCATGATCCGCATGGTCATGATCATCATCGAAAAACTCACCACCATCATCATCATCGTCATCAGCAGCATCATCATCGTCGTCAGCATTACCATCATCATTATCAGCATCATCATCTGCACAATCACCATCACCATCCCTCCCCCCGCCGTCCTCCTCCCGCTCCTCCTCATCTTCCCTCCTCCTCCTCCTCCTCCTCCTTCTCCTCCTCCTCCTCCCCCAGACGTCGGAAAGGTCGTAAAAGTGTCCCCCCGCGCCTCGCAGTGAGTCCCGCGCCCATGCCCGGGCGCAACGCTTCGTAGCTGGCACCGCTACTCGTCGCTCCGTGATCTCGGTTGGATGCCGATGCGTCCCTCTTGCTGTCTCTCTCTCTTCCGTGGAACGCGCCAGAGCAGCTGCGCGAGAAAATCTAGACGCCAGAAGCCCGACCTCCCTCCTCTTACTCCTCCTGGTTTCGCCCGCCAGCAGCTTGTGCAGCATCGCGGCAAAATCGGAATACTGGTGCGACCAGGGAGTTGTACGCCTGAGATGATCCAACCACTGGACTGGCGAGCGTATAAGCAAACAGTAGAGAAAGGAGGAGCAGAGAGAGAGAGAGAGAGAGAGAGCCGCGGCGTCGGCACGACGCGAAGCTGCCGCATGCGTGGCGCTGGCGTGCGCAGAACTCCTGGGCTGAGCCGGTGAGGAGCATGGCCAGGGAATCGGAAGACAGCGTCCGCATCCCCCTCCTCATCCTCATCAGAACAATCATCCTCACCACCATCGTCAACAGGCCAAGCAGCGTCTTCACAGTCAGTTTCGCGCTCGTGCTCAAAGTCAGAATCCTCGTCATCGTCATCGTCATCTTCACCAACCGCACAAGGCGTTTCTCACAACTATCATTGTCACCGTCTCATCACCTTCATCGAAGTCATCACCATAATCACTCTGATCCAGATCATGCCCACCATATATATCACCACTATCAGAATCATCATCGTCGTCGCGGTCGCCATCGTCGCCATCATCATCGCCATCATCAACCATCATCATCCCGATTAGCAGCATCATTGACATCATGGCTCCCTCCAGCTCTCTCCTCCCCTGTTCCTCCCCTCCTCCTGCCGCATGGCGCCTCGGTTGGATTGGTGATGGGCGCGAACGCGGACACAGACTTGAACGCGCCTGGGCTTCCCAGAGCGGGCGGGCAGGACAGGAAAAACACAAGGGGGAAACGAGAGGAAGGAAAGCGGATGAGGAGAAGGAAGAGCGATATGGATGAAGGAGGGCAAAGGGGGGAGGGAAGCAAGAGGAGGGAGGAAGCGGAGATGAGGGAGCAGGGAGGATGAGGAGGAGGAGGAGGGGAGGGGATGAAGGAGGTGATGGAGGGTAAAAGATCTTGGTGGAAGTGGAGCGGCCGAAAGGCGTCTTCGATACCGCGCGAACCCTTTGGGGGAGGTCAGGCCGCGCGCTGATGTATAACGCGCAGTAGAAGAACCAGCAGGAGAAGCACAGGACAATGAAGCACAACACCACGAGGAACAAGTAGAGTACGGCACGAACACAGAGCGACAGTGGACGAACGAGCCATGTGCTGTGAATCACTCGCCGGGAAGCCGACGGCACTGTCAACATCCATAGCGTACGACATGGGACAACATCCGAACCAAGATCCGTGACAGTCCACGCCGCTTCAGACTGGGGCAAAGCCTCCTGCCCCGAATCGCCACTTCTGAGTCGACGTCTGGCTCCGGAATGGATCCTGCTGGGGATCCCAACCACGAGGCCATTAGCTGATCGTGAAGTCTTTGGAGCTCGTCCAACTGAGCGACCTCCTCGAACCTGCTGTAGTCGATGGGCCTTGCTGGAGTCTGAATACCCCCCAGCACGGTCAGCACTTGCTCCCCCCCATCGGTGGTTCGATCTCGTCATCCACTCAAAGACCATCGGGGTGAAAGAACACGCAGTCTTGGTGATAACAATTCTTGCCACATCGGCACCGCCTTGGCACAGGGCTGAGAGAAGCCACAGGCGGACGTGGCGCAATACTCAGCGAACGTCCAGCTCCAGATGAAGACGGCCTGCCCGATCGCTCTCGCGTAGCAGGCCACGGCAGGGTGGCGGTACTGGACAACTGCCCAGCGATTGTGTCTATGTCGTCGTACTGCGCACGCAGCTCGTCGATCAGCGTCGACAGCTCCTGGTGCATTCGTCCTGGCGGCGGCGCACGGCGGCAATTAGCCCGTCAGCAACCGGCGCGGTGGCGATCTCGACAAAACTGTGCATCACATTGGTGACAACCTCTGAAACAGACGGTGGGCTGATGCCCTGCGTCTGCGATATGAAGGAAGTCAGCTTCTCAAGCGTCGGGGTTCTCTCCCCGCACGCCGCCACTTCCCTCTCCACTGAGACCGAGCGGCTACCACAGTTCCCGCCGACAATTCCTCAGGCTGGGGGGCAGAAGCAGCAGACGACGAGCCCCAGTCCGAAGAGCCAGATGAATCAGTTTTCCTTGACGGCGGCTTGGGCTCCTCCTCGACCATGCTGTGCCCCGATATGCCACCCTCTTCCGAATCATCATGTTTGAGACTCCGGTTGGCATGGCGTGCATAAAACTGATCAACAAGTCCTTTCAAGCGAGCTGTAGTTCCGCTTTGAATTTCCACCAAGCCTTGATCGGCAAACAACTGCGAATCATATATCTCGGGTGATTCACTCAGCAACCTCGGAATACCCATAACGGTGTGAGCTGGCTAAGCGACAATCGTTGCCGTCCGAAGCGTTGTAACGGGCGTGAACACTGGTGCCGACGAGATCAACGTGACCTCAGCTGCTCGCCTCCCACGCCTCGATGCAAAACGAAGCGCAATCACCGTCGAATCACACATTGAAGTTCGTGGTCAAGATCGATGAGAAACCGGTCAGCCCACGGGGCCGTGAAATGTCTCAGCACCTGCCCAGCGACCTCCAGCTGCCTGATACGACGTCGCGTAGCCGATGAGAGAGACTGCCGCTGACCCATGGGCAGCCATCTGTAATCCAGAACAGTGCTGAGCCGCATATTTAGAAATGAACCTCTGGAGACGTCCATCGAGACTCGACAACGAAGCATAGACATCGCCTATCGCGAGAGAGTACAGGAGAGTCAAGCAAAGCAAACAACATCAAAACTAGCCGACTTGCGCCACAATGGCTACGGAAACAGAAATGAGGAGGGAAGAGGAGGAGGAAGAAGACGACGAAGACCGGGTGCCGAGCCGTGACCGCCCACCGCTGGGCCCATCGCTGCATGCGGGGGGGCACAGGTTGCAGGCGCACTGCTGCGAAGACGTCAGGGCATCAAAAGCTTCGGAAGCATAACAATTACAAGGTAAACCTCCCTCGTCTTCACTCCCCCCCCCGATTGTGTGTTTCCTTCCTGGGAGAGTGGCGAGGGGAGCAACGAGCTGGATCTGCATATATGCGTCGAACTCCGAAGTTCGCGAGCTGCTCTAGTGTGCAACTAGGCGATACGCATGAAGCACAACCTGGCAACATACAAAACAAAAACTCCCGCGCCAAAAACATCACCCCCCCCGGCCAGCATCATCCGTCTTGGAAGAGTCCATCTGCCGAACCACGGCAGGGCCCCAGGCGAACGGCAACCCCTTTAGCCTTTCCATCACTTCCCCCCCCCCCAGCCCATCAAGTCAAATGCCGACGCGATCCGATGGAAAAAGATACCAGACTGAAAGAGTGAACGGCATTGAGCCCGCCGCCGAGGCTTGCAAGGACCGGCGTGGCCTGCGCGCAGGGCAATAAAACAACAAAAAACGATGTTCAGGCACGCCAACGCGACCACGGTGGTCCGAGAGCGGCACCTTCATGGACGCCAGCTACAATTGGCGCGTGACAAAAAGCCATGGCAAGCTGCACGGAATCAAAGAGAATGAGAACCCCCTGCAACCGCAAAGAAGCCTTGAGATGACTGAGCGGTACACTCGGGGTTGTAATCAAGCAGATCGCCACGCGGACCAAAAAAAGATAACGCTGTGGGGCCCAGCATGAATAAAAGAAATCTCACTTGCTCGCACCTGACCCACCCACCCGCCCCACAGAAGAGCCAAATTCTGACATCCTCCACTGGGGTGCAGAGCGATGCTTTGTGTCCATAGCCAGCTGCGCGAGGCTTGAAGAACTGAGCCCCTTAGCTCCACACTAGCATCCCTCGTCGCTCGCAGAAATGAAGTTTCCCGCCGCTCGGACGCGTTCTCGCGACTTCTGATGTGGGGGGGCACCCATTGCTTTCCTGGGGGTGCCACTGGGCCTCACCACGAAGAAAGCAGCCGAGACAGGAGAAACAAGCGCAATGATCTGATGCGGGGAATTGCCAGCAACCCTGAACAACAAAAAATGGCGCGACTTCACAGTTAGAGCAAGCCAGCGAAGCCCCGAGCAAGACGAACGATTCTCGCGAACACCTTGACACCTGAAGGGTAAGAAACTCGAAGCGTGTCATACCTGGGAAGGTCTACCGAAAATTGCAGATCAAACGTACATGGAATGGACGATATGGTAGAAATGCGGAACTGGCATCCAAACATCCTCGAACCCGATACCATATTGACGACCGTCGCCTCTTTAATGGTGTAACTAGCGTCAGCGAGAGGCGATTCAAATGCCCCTCGGGTAACGACGTGGTCAGTGTCCTTGCGAGCACGGGCATACATGATGGTCCGATCGGCTGGCCCGTTCAATTCACAACTTCGCTTCCAATAGGAAACGAGGCTGACGAAGCACATGGTCGAGCCTCTCTTTAAGTTGAATTGCCCTTCATGTCAGCGCAGAGCTTTGCGCACTCCTTCTGACTCCACCTTGCCAACCCTTCGATCGTGCGGATCTGGATCGGCATGATCGTGGACCTCGAATCGCTGAACAACAGCCGCATGGCGTTCGCCAACGACGCGAGCATCCGACCGACCGCTGCTGCAGCAGCTCGTCACGCACGCACTTCTGGAGCCGTTCCGCGAAGCCTCGCTTGAGATCAACGAACACAAACATCACTGGGCCTTGCTGCCACGGCTCGAGGTCTGCTTTTGTTTGAGAACGCAGCAGCAGGGAGGCCCTCCAACTCCTCGACCCGAAGGGCAAACAGCTCCCAACACTCCCGGCGACCGCCATCTGACCACTGCAGAGCAGAGCACAACAACCATTGCACAGCAACTTCGATGCAACGAGCTGCCTGCAGTCACAAAGGGGAATGGGTCGAGTCCTTTGCATCCCGCCCCGATCCGGGAGCGGCGAACGTATCCAAATTCACGCCCTCGCGGACTGGATTCCGGGGCGCCATCGCGTGGACACGCGGTCGCATGGACACGTCCCGCGCGACGGGCATCCGCGAAACAGTGGCCCGACAGGGTCGCGGCCCCGCGAATCCGTGGATATGGATATGTGTCCCCATGGTGGAGGCACAGGCCACAGGCCACGTCTCCGCGCATGCGGCAAGCAGCCTGCCCCCCCGGGCCCGCAGCGACAGGGACCCCTCGCTGCGGGTGCGCTCGGGTGTGCTGGGCGTTAGTTTCTGCGGAGGCCTGCGGCAGGACCGCGGCCCAGAAGCCCTCCAGCCTTCTCAGAAGGCTGGAGGGCTTCTGGGAATCCCCGCTGCCTTCTGAGAAGGCTTGCCCCCTCTCACTTCCCCGCGGGCGCGCCGCCGAACCTCGAAGATCCCGATGTGAGAGCGTTGGCGGCGACGCACCGGCCGTCGCGGCGCCACCCCTGCCACGAGCACGCGGGACGACGGCACCGACCACGACGGCGATTCCGAGCCCGAGGCGTATTGCCCAAGCCCGCGGAAGCCTGCAGAGACTGCGCCCAGCCAGGGCGGCCCTGTGCGGCGCAGGTCAATTCGCCGGCCACCCTGCCCCTGCCTCCCTCCCTCTCTCCCTCCTGCCTCCCTCCATCGTCCTCCCCCTCCTCCCCCTTCCATTCCATTTCCTTATAAATAACTTCTCCCTGTCGCACCCCGAGGCCAATTCTTAGGGCGGGCTGGGCGTTTCGCCTGAGATTGCCTCTCCATTTATGACTCTGAAGCTGGGAAAAAGGCAACAGCTTCACAGGTGGAGGGCGAGTCGTTTTCAAAATGTGGCTCTCGCCTTGGCGCCGAGCACAGTCTCTTAAACAAATGCAAGAGTTTTGCAGATTGAGGGCGAATCGTTACAAAATGTGGCCCTCGCCTTGGCGCCACGCACATTCGTTTTGAAAGTATGCAACAGTTTATCGGCTTTAAGGCGAGTCGTTTTCAAAAAGTGGCTCTCGCATCAACGCCGCGCACTTCCGTTGAACAGTTTGCAAGAGTTTCACGGGTTCCCGTGATCAACGAACCAGAAATGATGTTTAGGAAGGATTCAGGATTTACGTTCATTCGCGGCGTTTGAAGTCCCAGGATTGGCGGGCTGGCAAGACTCATGGTGGTCAAGACGCAACAGTCAGGTTGATCCGTGGCGCTGGAATCCCGAGAACAATGCTTTGGCATGCTTCAGGGTCTTCAAACGGTTGTCTTCCAGCGAGGCAGTTCCCTTAATGGAAATGAACCGTTGTAGGGGCCTATGAAGAGGGAGCTTGGAATGAGGGTGTATTACAACATCGTCCATGACTCTTGGGTTTACACTGGTCCCCCTTCTCCTCGCCTTGGGATCCGTCTTGCTTCGGCCACGCTGGCCTGAGCCAGAAGGGCTACCAAGGCAGAGCGAGGAGTATCTCTTGACGGCCTCGGCGCGTGACGGAGCAAGGCTGTCGTGCCAAGGGGAGGTGAGGAAGGAGAGGACGGCGAGGATGAGGCTGAGGAGAAAACGAAACTGAGGACAAGCAGCGGCGGGAGGGAGGAGAAGGCTGAGGGAGAGAGGAAGTGGGAGTGGATGAGGGAAGTGGATAAGGGAGAGAAGAGCGAAGGGTGATGCGTGAGGAATGAAAAGCGAGAAGTGAGGACTGAGGACGTGAGGAACAAGCAGCGAGGAGTGAGGAATGAATACGGGAAAAGGAGGCTATTACGAGGAGTGGTGCTCTTACCTCCTGTAGCGCGCCTGGGTTTCTCAGGGCGATGGTCAGTGCGCCGTGGCCGCCCATGCTGTGCCCGAAAATGCTCTGCTTCTCAGGATCGATGGGGAGCAAGTCCTTGACAGCCTCATAAGAGGAAGCTAGCTGCCCGCGTGCACCAATCCGGGCCAGCCCAACCCTGGGGGCCTCTCCCAGAGTTGACGAATGCCCTGCAACCTAAATGTTGTCCTGGGTTGCGGATGGCTCCTGGGCAGGACGGGGGTGCACACCAATCCAGGGCCGGGGGCTGGCCTCGCCAGGAACAGTGCAGGTGGACGTTTGGCGCACCCTGTGCCTCGGGCAACTCCTTGGTAACGTAGTCCAGCATATTGTAGTGAGTCTTGTATTTGTCGGTCGTCGCGTTCAGATAGAAGCCCGCGCCAACACCGAAATCGTACGCGTGAGGGTCCTCGTCTGGGACCCCCTCGCCCCGTGGCGACGTGTCAGGAAGCACGATCACCAGGCCCAAATTACCGGCCGCTTCGAACGCGCCCGCCTTCTGAGAGAAGCTCTCGTCGTTGCAAGTCAGTCCGCTGAGCCAGTAGACGACGGGCAGCTTCTTGCCCTCCGAACCTTCGGGCAGGTACGCAGCAAACTTCATGGCAACGCCGCCGAGCACGGGGCTGGTGTGCTCGTAGCGCTTGAGCAGGCCCCCGAAGACCTTCACGCTCGAGATCTCTTTCGCCATCCTCCGAAAAGCGGCGGCCCCTGGCGGCAAGTGTGGGCTCCCCCGACGGACTGAAGGCAGCCGTGTAGCTTCGGCCAAAACACCCCTGGCGCCCCCGATGCTCGCGGACAGGGAGGAAAAGAGGATGCCCCTGAGATCCGACGTCGCGGATGAGTTTCAACATCGTCAAGAATCACGACCAAAACTTTGGACACAATCTCTCTGTTGCATGTGGCGGGCTGGCTCGATCCGTGATGGCCCCTGGGCCCGAAGTCCAGCGAAAACGCCCGTCGCGCAAGAGTTGCTCTCAGGGGAGGAAAAGAAGGACTAGAGGCCTATCAGATGGGATCCGAACAGAATTGGTAGGAGGATCGCGCCGCATCGCCGATGCATCGGCGATGTATCGGCGACGCTGACGTGGAGAAAATCCGCCTCCATGTCGAGCTGAATTGCTGATGCATCGGCGATGCGGAACGATCCTCCAACCCCATCTACTCCGACCCCATCTGTGAGGCCTCGAGCTGGATCTACGAAGTCTTGGCGAATGAAGATCTGTCATACGATTATTGACATGCGATTGATTTGGCCAAGGAGCAAAATCTTGGAGCACGCCAATGGTCGCGATCGCCTGTCGAACTACCATGTTGCACTTCGAACTTGTTGATTTCAGAGCCGCGCGTTTTCGGATGCATCTTGTGAATAGAAGTCACTTATCGGTTCACGCATGCACCCTCGATGTGGGTCGACTCTGGCGTTGCGAAATCCATACCGCATGTTGTCACCATTTCAATCCTCTTTCTGCTTCTGTTCCCTGTCTTCCACTTCCTCGTCCTCGGTGCCCTCGTCCTCGTCGTCGTTCTCGTCTTCCGCACCTTCGTCCTCCTCCCCCCCTCCCCTCCCCTCCCAAACCCCCACCTTCTCGTCCTCCATTCCCCCCTCGGAGGGAGCAGGAACAGAGACGGGAGGTTGTTGGACCCCATGCGCTTGGACCCCTGAGGACGATGCGGCCGCCCCCTGAAATGCCACCCCCGTGCCGCTCCCGGAGTACTCCCAAAATGCTCCTGGAATACTCCAAGTTCCACGCTGCATCTCCCAGAATTCTGGCAGACCAGGTGCGCAACCAGTCAACCGCGACTAGAACACGTGCGAACCTGTCGAAAAGGCTGTCGGCCAATTGCGAAACCTGTCGAACGCGACTGGGTCCAATTCCAGGAAGGATGGCAGACCAGGAGCGCAACCTGGCGAACGCGACCAGCTGCTTGTCGAACGCGAGTTGCGGAACCTATCGACGAACGAATCGCCGACACCCTGGCCCTGGCCCTCCCCAGTCGGTACTGGCCCCCTGGACCTGGCCCTCGCCGACCCCCTGTCCCTGGCCCCCTCATCCTCCTCCCCCATACTCGTTGCACTTATCACATGGATCCTCCTCTGTCTCCCCTGCAACCTCCTCATCATCATCGCCATCCTTTCTTCCTCCCCAGCGGTGAAGCACAATGTTTTTTCTAGATTTGACCATACGTGTGCTGATTCATATAGATATATCATATACATATGCTGCACGGTGACAAGTCAAGAACGGTGCAGCTGAAACACTTTCATGGATACTCGGACATCGCAATTCCAGGCCTAGAGGGACGAGGGCGACGTGGAGAGTGAGGATCACACCGGCGCCCCCTGCAGGGGCCACACACACACACATCAAAGGCAGCAGAACCATCTCCGCAGACCAGGCCAGGCATCGCCAGGTGCGGGCGCTACCCGCTGTGGGGCCCGCGGCCACAAGCGGATACTCCGAGGATATCCAGATCCAGGTTACCGCGGGTTCGTGTTGTGTCGACCCTGGCAATGGTTACTGACACCGCGGGGATCGTGTAACCTTGAACGAGCGGCCGTTTCCGAAAGGTCATGTTCAACATCGGCCGATTCTGGGTCTCAGGCAGCGTTCAATGTTGAACATCGGCGGCGGGGTCGCCGACACTGGACACGACGCGAACCTACCGAGCGCAAGGTCAGTCAACATCGAGTCGGAAATCTGATCGAATCGCAATGTGCGTCGGATCGGTCTGCATCGGCACGGAATCGAAATTGAAACGGATCGGCCGTGCCAAGATGCAGAGCAGCGCCATGCAAACATCGAGCCGCATCGGACCGACGGACTTGCGGCATCGAATCGGATCGGGCTGGCCGGAACCGATTTCGAATCGGATCGGTCGGATCGAATGGGCCCTGGCTAAATGGGCTTTGCCAGCTTAGCGGCGTTTTTTCTGAGCCCCCATAGGCCGCTCATGGTTCTTATAGCCCACTACCAAGCTAGTTCAGGCCAGATGTTATCCCCCCTCATCATCCACTTACGACCCCCCGCTCCCCTTAGCAACCCCGCGCTGATCCAAGTTGGCATGAGTGGCCTCTGGTACGCGGCTTGCGAATCTCGGATGAGGGCCACACTGACGGCGGGCCTCCCTGGCGTCATTCGTCATCTCTCTGGGCCTCTGGGAGGCTTCTCATCGCCACGGCTGGATCCGCCTCACAAAACGGACCAGGGCGGATCCCAGGATGGGGTCCAGGGGCCGATTCTGAGTGGATCTGGGCGAAGCGACCCCAAACGCACGACGCGGTGACTTGCTCACAACGTGGCCCACCAGAGATCTGGACCTCTTCCTGCGGACGGACTTCTCTGAAGGGGCCCCAGGACACACAAATAAATACACACAAATAAAATCATTCCCCATGTTTTCCAATCTTTTCTTAGTTTTTTTGTCTTCCCGCCCCGTTCCCATATTTTCCCATATCTTCTGGGGGGGATCGACGATTCATTGTGTCTGTGTGTTTTTTCCCCTCCTGATTCTCTCTGGACGCCCGAGATGGGCACGGAAAAAATGGGTACAATGCCCAACAGGAGTTCCTTTTCATTTTGAACAGGACTCGCTGTCCACGCCGCCGCGGCCTGTGTCCATTCGAGACAGGAGGCCGCCTGCCCAACAGCGGCCGCTGGTGGTTTGGGACAACATTTGCTGTTGGGCATTGTACCCATTCTTTTGGTACCCATGCCGGGCGTCCAGATTCTCGTCCCGAGACACTTGCGGACGGTCCCGGGGCCTCGGGAGGGCCCCCGGCGGCCAGGAGCCTCGCGGCGCGAGGGCGTCAGGGTGGGGCAGGCTCCGGGCGGGGGCAGTGTGAAGGGGCCCCAGGACACACAAATAGATACACACAGATAAAAATATTCCCCCTATTTTCCTGTATTTTCTGGGTTTTTGTTTTCCCCCCCACTTCCCATAGTTTCCCATGTTTTCTGGGGAATCGACGATGAATTGTGTCTGTGTGTTTTTTTCCCTCCTGACAGCAGCCACTCGACAGCTCCGGGGAACGAGGCGGCCCTGCGCGAAGTCGAGTCTGACACCGCAATCCGGGGCCACCGCACGCCCGTCGGAGCTGGAAGGCCTCGAAGCCCGCAGCGTATCGCCAGACGCCTCGTGCCACGCCAGGCAGCCGGAAGACAAGCGGGATGGAGGAGCTCACGTTGTTGCAGGTTTGCCCAACCAGTGCTTGCACTTGGGGGATCCTACTTTTCTGACTAAGGGATTGCACGGGTCCGTCGAAGTGTCGCCACGTCGCCGCCAGTTGCCGCCTCGCTACCACCTCGCTGCCGCCGATTTGGAAACCTGTCGAGGTTTCGCCGCGTCGCCGCCACCTCGTTAGCATCCATATGGATGGGTGCACGTCGAGGTTTCGCCGCGTCACCCACGTTGCAGCCGCGTTGCCGCCTCATTGCCGCCCACTTGGGGGGGGTCCGTCGAGGTTTCGCCGTGATCCCGTTTGTGGCTGGCTCGTTGCCGCCTCGTTGCCGTCAACTTCGATGGGTCCATCGAGGTTTCGCCGCGTCTGCCCCCGCAGCCGCCTCGATGCCGCCTCATTCCCGCCCACCTGGGGGTCCGTCGAGGATTCGCCGCGTCGCCGCCCGTTGCCAGCCTCGTTGCCGCCTCGTCGCCGTCCACTTCGATGGGTCCAACGGAGTCTCGCCGCGCCGCCGCCCGTTGCCGCCTCCTTGCCGTGTCATTGCCGCCCACTTGGGGGGCCCGTGGAGGTTTCGCCGCGTCGCCGCCCCGTGGCCGCCCCGCTGCCGCCCACTTCGTGGGGCCCGTCGAGGTCTCGCCGCGTCGCCGCCCGTTGCCGCCTCGGTGCCGCTGACTTGGGGGGTCCGTCGAGGCTTCGCCGCGTCGCCGCCGCGCTGCCGTCTCGATGCCGCCTCCTTGCCACCCACTTGGGGAGTCTGTCGAAGTTTCGCCGCGTCGCCGCACGTTGCCGGCTCGTTGCTACCCTCTTGGGGGGTCCGCCGAGGTTTCGCCGCGTCGGTCCCCGTTGCCGCCTCGTTACCATCTACCGCGCCTGGGGGGTTCGTCGAGGTTGCACCACGTAGCTTGCACCACACAGCTTGCACCACTCAGCTTACACCACGCAGCTTGCACCACGCAGACTGCATCACCTGATTAACACATCCTCAGTGCAATCCTTAACTCTTTGGGGTCCGCGCTGGCTAACCTCTCTTCTTGTTTTGCAATGTGGTCCCGTTGGAGGCCTCTGGGAGCCTCCTGTCGACCTCGGGGGGCCTCTGGGGGACCTCTGGGGATCGGCGGAGGACTCGGGAGACCGCCGGCTCCAGGGCAGAGGGAGGCGGAGGAGGACCAAGCAAGCCCAGGCTTCCTCAACGATGCTGCGACACACCCTCAAATCCAACGTCCCCTCCGCAGAGAGCCTCATTTTGAGAACGAGTGCCTCATGCTTGCATCTGTTGCGAGGAATATGTGCGGCGCAGAAGCGAGATCTGCATCTTGAAAACCACCCGCCGACCGTCATTTTGACAGCTGCAAGCTTTTAGAACGAACGCGCGCGGCCCACAGGCGAGCCACAGTTTGAAAACCTCCGGCCCACCAACCTGCAACTGCTGAAGACCTTTCAGACGAATGTCCGTGAAGACCCTTAAGACGAATGTGCGCGGCACTAGGGCGAGAGGAACATTTTGACAACCACCAGCATTCCCTTCCATTGTTGGAAGCCTCAATTTCGAATAGTAAGTTGCAACTGCGCCTCCAGCGAAACGCCCTGTCCGGCCA